TCTCTCTCTCTCTCTCTCTCTCCCTCTCTCTCTCTCTCTCTCGTCTCTCTCTCTGCAGCTCACGGCTCAGTAAAGACAGAGAGAGGCTGTGGCTGCAGCCGGCCGTTGCAGAGGACAGTGGACTGTACATCTGCATGCTGCGGTAAGACACAGTGAAACCTGGGAACTGATTTCAGACACTGGAGCCTCATCTGCTCTGATTCACTGTTAAACTGTAACGTGATGTTTAATGTGTTGAAACTAAATCCAGTTATAAACCTGAATATGTGGAGGAAGCTAAAGCTGTTCAGACATGAACTGAAGTCCTCACATGTTCCTCACATGTTCCTGACATGTTCCTCACATGTTCCTCACATGTTCCTGACATGTTCCTCACATGTTCTGTATGTGAGAACAAATGTCTGAGTCAGTGTCTGGACATGTTCTGGATCTTCTCCTGCAGCCTCTAGTAAAACATCTGTAAAAYRTCAGAGTGAGTCCATGTGAGAAAACATCAGGAAAACATCTGGAACCTTCTCAGTGAGCGAGTGGACGTGTTGACGAGGTTTCTAACACGTGACGGACGTGAAGCTGGAAGAACACAAATCTCTCAGGATGAAGAAGAGGAGCGACCACGTAGAAGACGAAGACGTCCACTTGGAAAGACGATCAAACACCAGAGCGTCCGACCTGCAGCTCTGTCAGATAAAATCTGTTCCTTCACATTCTGTGCTTCGTCCTCGCTGATCTAAACTTAATCAGCTAAAGTGGCCGAGAGCTTTTTGAAGATTACAGGAGGACGGACCCCTGAACACTCAGCTGGCCTCAGTCCAGACCTCCATGTCCCCTTTAATCCCCACATGGTTCTAACATGAAGAACAGACACTGTCCAGTCGGATCTGACGCTGCTGCAACTCACTTTTATTATCTCGTCATCTACGTTTTATTTCCTTAATTATTTGTGGAGTCGTAGTAAAAATCACCTCCTGGTTGTTTTTCTGACGAGTGAAATAATCTGACGTTCCCTACGTTTACTACTAATGATACTAATACTACTGCTTAGTACTGTCGAGACACTGCAGTACATCAGAGCGGTGTAATCTAGATTAATCTTCCTGTGTGGTCACATTTCACATCCTGCTTCCTCCACCTTCACACACTCACACACACACACACACACACACACACACACACACACACACACACACACACACACATTTCTTGTATATTGTACTTTAAGAAATGTCCAATCAGAGAGACTCTGTTGCCGTGGAGACTCGGAGGCCTTCTTACCGTCTCTGGTCTCTTGCAGTAATAAGTCGTCCTGCAGTAAGATCGCCATGCGTCTCAAAGTGCTGCGACACGAAGACCTGGTCCAAGACTCAGACTGCCAGCCTCCGGTTGCCGCAGCAACGAGCTCTGTGGCCATCCCATTTCAGGAGGGGCACCTCCTGGACTGTCCAGACCTGCAGGACGTCACCAAGATGGCCGACAGCGAGCCCAACGTCACCTGGTACCACGTGACAAACAACCAGGTAATACGTCCGCCTGTCTGTCCATGTTTGGTGACAACACTCATTACTGAATGAATGTGCAGCTCTGGAGGAAGATTTGACTCATCACTGATCATGTGATGATCAGTGATGACGTCATTTCAAACAAATTGATTTAATCTTTTATCGACGTCTTCAGTTTCCTGAACGTGTCTGATTCACTCCGGAGAAATCAGTGGAAATATTTAACAACTGAAAACGTCCTCCGACAAGTTTACCAGACTTCTGTCAATGTGAAGTTAACAGACAAAATGAAAACATGACTTTTATATGTATATATACGTATATATATGTGTGTATGTGTGTGTATATTGATATCATAGAGTATTTATATACTGGTATCAGTGAACTTTGGGTCGCGTTGACGAGTTTCTCTCCGCAGTGTTTCAAGCCTCCGTTCTGGGACAATAACCGGCAGCAGAAAGGACCAGGTCTGATGATCTACAACATGTTTTTGATGTTTCGTGGTTTGTATGTCTGCACCGTCACCTACCTGAGGAGAGGCAGGACGCTCAACTTCACCAGGAGCATCGACGTCATCGCAGTCCGTGAGACAACCACACTGACATCGCTCTGATGACGTCACCGAGCGCCACCGAGCAGCTGATCACTGATCTGTTCTGTTCTCTCAGATTCGCCATCGCTGCCCAAAGAACCCAGCATCCTCCGTCCGTCCAGAAACCACGTCTTCACGGTCAGACAGGGTGAGTCCACGTCACCGCAGAAGAACACTGTTCACATCACATGACCGATGCATGGTCACATGAATGGTCACGTGACAGGACAGAGGTAGATTTAGTTTGTATGTGACCATGTGTGACCATCGCTGACCTGATGACTCTTTGACGTGGAACAGATTCAGTCTCTGGATTAAAGTCCGATCGATTTAGATTTGTCAGACACAGATGTTAGTCCAGATGTGAACTGGTCCACATGGTAGATTTACTTCTTTAACTCCGCCCTCTACGGCTTTATTATCTCACAGTTTCTATTGGATGTTAAGCTAACACACCCACAACGAGGGCGGGACAGTTGCACTTGTTGTCCATACACCTTGCTTTCTATTGGTTGGTTTCTGTAAGACGATAAAGGTTATATTCTGCCCCCCCCCTCAGGCATGGAGGCCCATCTGCAGTGCGTTGGTCTGTTCCCGTACCTGGAGTCATCGTGGGACATCTGGTGGACTGTCGACGGGAAGACTCTGGACAAACTAGCCGACCCCCGCTTCTCTAAAATCAACAGGTCGGAGGAAGATGTTTATTTTATCTTCACAATATTAATCTTTATTGATGATTTAACTGAAGCTATAAGTATAAGTACGTGGAGAGGGGGAGGGAAATACTACTTACATACATGTACTCAAGTACTTAGTTACTTTACACACACACACACACACACACACACACAGAGACCTGAGCTCAAACACATTAGTTATACCTGTGTGTGTGTGTGTGTGTGTGTGTGCAGACAGATGAAGGATGACTATGGGGACCGGACGGAGGAGAGCGTGCTGGTGATCCAGGACTTCGTCTCTGAGGACCTGAGGCGACAGTATAACTGCTCTGTGAAGAACTCGAGAGGCTTCGAGACTCGCAGCGCTCAGCTGCAGGAGGAGGGTGAGACGAACACGTCTTCATTCGACCCTGAGTGTTGACACCGTATGTGGGACGTTGTTGTTGAACGTCTGTTGTGTTGTGTCAGTGTCTTTGCCGTCCGTGGAGCTGGGTTGCGGTCTCGGCGTGACTCTGGTCCTGATGCTGCTTCTCTTCGTGGTCTATCACGTCTTCTGGCTGGAGCTGCTGCTCATCTATCGCTCGTGGTTCGGCAGCGACGAGCGACACACGGGTGAGTGAACGTGTGACGGGGTCATCGACTGCTCATGAGCAGCTGGTGTTCAGAGACGTAGAACAATTGTAAATAAAGATGGACGACATGACAGCTCCCCAAAGTGAAGCCAAAGCTTCTCTACCTCCCCCTGGTGGCTGGTTGCACTATAGGTGATAAACATCCTCCATGGTAGCAGATGGGACATGGACCAAACTAACTGATGTTTGTTCAAGTTCCTGATCAGTTTGGTTGAATTAGTTATTGATGATATAAAAACAGGCGGAGACGTCATGATTGACAGCTGACACTGACTCCTGACTGGTCGAGAGTGTGTGTGTGTGTATGTGCTCTACATGATGATGAGCTTGTTCCTCTTTGTTTAATTAAACGAGTCAAAGAAAGAAAAATGAACGTTCATAAAACTGTAGAGTTGAACCCGAAATATCTGCAGCGTCACCGACATTTAGACGATTAAAGCTTGTAACACACACACACACACACAC